TAAAGGAAATGCTGTGTTCGGCCCCAGTTCTGCGTAGCCCAGATTTTAGCCAGCCATTTTATATTCATTGCGATGCCAGTAATTCCGGAGTAGGAGGGGTTTTAGTGCAGAAATCGGAGAGTGGCGAAGAATGTCCGATAGCATTTGTCTCGAAAAAATTGAACAAAGCGCAGAAGTCTTACACGGTCAGCGAAAAAGAGTGTTTGGCTGCAATAATATGCATAAAACGGTTTCGGGCATATGTTGAGGGTCATGATTTCACAGTCATCACGGACCACGCGTCTCTCAAGTGGCTAATGTCGCAGACAGATCTGCATTCTAGGCTTGCTCGGTGGGCATTGAAACTCCAGGGTTTCAATTTTAAAATTGAGCATAGAAGCGGTAAGCTCAATGTAGTTCCTGACGCCTTGTCCCGGGTCAATGAAGAAGAGATAGCAGCCGTAGATGCCAGTCATGGATTATTGGTTGATCTCGAATCCAAGCACTTTAGCGATCCCGACTATGTCGATCTAGCCGAGAAAATTAGAGCCAACGCAAACAGTCTGCCCGATTTAAAAGTAGCGGATGGATTCATATATAGAAAAACGGAACACTTGTCTGGGGATCCGATTCACGATAACTTTTGTTGGAAGCTGTGGATTCCTATGGGACTGGTGCCCGACGTCCTCGAAAATGCACATGATGATCCTTTAGCTTCACATGGGGGTGTTCATAAAACATTGGAGAGGATAAGAAGGTATTACTATTGGCCACGACTGGTGAAGGACGTGAAGGAGTATATTCAGGCGTGCGAGATATGTAAAATGACTAAGGCTCCAAATTGTATATTAAGACCACCAATGGGAAAAGCTCCAGAGTCTGCAAGGCCTTTTCAGAAATTATACGTCGACTTTTTGGGTCCGTATCCCCGATCAAGGAGCGGAAACATAGGAATATTTATTGTGCTAGATCACTACAGCAAGTTTGTGTTTCTGAAGGCAGTGAAAAAACTAACAGCTGACGTAGTAGTTAAATATATGCAGCAAGACCTATTCCATACTTTTGGTGTCCCAGAGACTGTAATTTCAGATAATGGGTCACAATTTAAGTCGGAGGCCTTCCAGAAACTCTTAAGAGAGTACCAGATATCTCATACTCGCACTGCTGTTTACTCGCCCCAAGCTAATGCATCAGAGCGGGTAAATCGATCAGTGATTGCTGCCATACGATCGTATGTGCGTAGCGACCAAAAGGATTGGGATGAGCAGCTAAGCAGCATTTGCTGTGCTCTCAGGTCAGCAGTTCACTCGAGTTTAGGGACTTCACCTTACTATATGATTTTTGGACAACATTTCATTTCAACTGGTGCCACGTATAAGTTGCTAAGAGCTCTCAATTTGCTCGAAGATAGATCGTTGGCATTCTCAAAGGAAGATTCTCTAGAACTTGTCCGCAGTAAAGCGTTAGAGGTGATGAAAAAACAGTTTGAAAAGAATGAGAATAGGTATAATTTGCGGTCAAGAGAAGTATCTTTTAGGGAAGGTCAAGAGGTCTATCGAAGAAACTTCAAACAGAGCAATTTCGCAGCTGGTTATAATGCGAAATTGGGTCCAGCTTTCGTGAAAGCAAGAGTAAAGAAAAGGATTGGGCAAGCTTATTATGATCTCGAGGACCTACAGGGGCATGATGTGGGCAGGTTCCATGCAAAGGATATTAAACAGTAGCCTCGCAAGCTGTGGTGTTCTCAGCCTTGGAGTATTTGCCCCAAGTCTGATCTTGATGGGGGGGTATTTTTGTAGCGCTTGCTCGGAAAAAAGATACTTTTCTAGCGCCATCTGTTGGATGTTGGAGAGAAGGTATTGCGTTGCCACTAGAGTTGATAAGAGACTAGTAGATATCGGTAGGATAGCCGCGAGAGAGCAACAGTGGCAAGTGTCAACTGTCTCCGCTTTCACCCTGAATTCGATCTGGGGTTACCGCCACTTTTCCGGCGGCGTGTTCTTTCTTTTCCGTTTGGCAGCAGCAGAGTGAAGTCGAGAGTTCGCAGTGACTAAATTAAAATTCGAAAGTACACGCGAGTGATCTCACTTTAGTGCCGAAGGGAAGGAGTTAAACAATTTGGCTTTGAGCCGCATAAAAAGGGTGAGATGAAAAACAAGCGAGTTTATAGGCAGGTGATTATTTTTGGGGGTTTTATAGGCCACCGTTGGATTGATGTTCGAAGGCCGCAAAGTAAAATAAAGGCGAGTTCGATCGAGACGAACGGGCGCCCGCGCAGTCCACATAACGAGCGAGCAACCTCCACGCCAGATATTCAACTCGGAACGACAGCGCACAAGGAAGGCCGAAACTAAGTGTCTATTCACATTTCCATCTTTAATCATCCCCATTATCCGGTGTGTCAGCCCCAAATTTCATAAGCCAGAAAAGTGAGCTAGGCGCCGTCTGACCATCGAGCCGTTTAATCGAGGCGAACTAAACACAGGTTCGATCGAACCGATTTATCAGTTTCTCTTTGCTCGGAGTGCGCATGCGACGTCGCGGCTACGGTCTGTGCTTTTAAAAGTAATTCTCGGGGAGTTAGAAAGACCATACTTAGGCCAAGAAAATCCTCGCCGTTTCGGCCAAATCCCGGTCGGAAGGGTTATCGGAGTACTCGCCACGGATAAGCGGGAAGTTTAGGTTTAAAATTCGGTTTAAGTTATGTAATAAGTGTTCGTTCGTCAAAAGTAGAGAAAAAATTTGATTTTATTTTGTTCGGTGAAAGTGTGGTTTGGGGATAAATTCCTATTCATATCCCAGAGAAGGTAGTGCTGATGCCATCAGAAGGTCTTCACGGGCTGTACATTCCGCTTTTTATTTAATTCCTGATTTAAAAAAAATATATATGTCTCTGTGAGTGTGTTTCCCTTATTCAACCTTATTTAGCCATCGTCAACGAGGAAAGCGCTTTCGTCGGTGGATGGACATAAGTGTGGTGAGTTTTTAAAAAGAAAATCTATACAAAATCTCATAAGAAAAGTCAAAAGAAATAACTTAAAATCTATAATGCTAACCTAAAAGAAAAAAAACGAATATGGAGAAATAAAGAAACAAAAAAATTGCTACACTCAGAAAAAAAGTAAAGTAAATTAGATTGAATTCAGATTGAACTAAAAGCTGATTATGAATATCGTGATGCATCCTTCAGTTTAAATGGTGAAAATAAAGTTAAAGTCAAAATTGGATTAGAAACAAATTAAATAAAATATGAAGATTTTTCTCTCGAGTGATATGATCCCCATGCCTCAGTTAACCATGTTTGCATCAACCAACAAGTTTTTTTAATTGCCTTACATACTCATTATTTGCCATATTTTAACTTATATATATATATATTTATTGTTTATATTTATTTATTTATTTTATGCATGTCTTTTTACGGTTTAATTTAAGAAATGGTTTATATATCTAGTTATTAATAAAATTTTATAATGTTTTGCTAAGGTGAAAAGTGGCCGCAGCTAGCGTTGTCTTATAATGTAGAGTAGCACTTGTTAAAGGGGTCGCTCAGGCTGTTAAGCGCTGAGGATATGAGCGACCATTGGTAGGGTGGGCAAGACCAGGACCTCCACAACATCCAGGGAGGCGAAAAGGAGAAGTCAGCCAAAATGGGAAAGTAGGGAATATAAAGTGATGATTTAATGTGTGTGTTTTCTCTAACCCGGTTTCAGTTTGGTGATGCACGCGAGTATCTAGTTATTATTAGGGAAGGCATTCCGAGGTAACAGCAAGACCATCACACCCATAGCCGAAGAGCCAGAGCCGGATATATTTTTTCGCGTGCGCTGGTATCTCGAGACAACATCCAGCCTGATTTGTATTAATAAGTGTAGCGGTTCGTTACTCTCCTTCTTTTTGTTTTTTCCTTTTTTTTTCTAATTCTTTTTCCCTTTTCCCCGCCACCCCCCCCCCCCCCCCTGTCCCCGTTGCACGATTCTCGTGTATGTGGGGGTGTGGCATGCACCTCGGATTTGCTGCCCCTACGGGTGCTAATTTGATTTAGCTCGCTGCATGGGCACGGCATTGAGACATCAGGCCGAAGGACGAAGGACACTGGCCCATCCGCCCATCCCAGCTATTGGTAACCCATAAAGTTAGGGAAGCGCGCCGAGGTGTGTCTGCTGCGCGTTTTTTATGGCATGCTAATCGGGGCCAAACAAATACATATTACGCATACGCCGCGTGCTCGATGATGATTTGTTTGAATTTTTGCGAAAAGGAGTTCTCGTGCCTCAAGGGTTGGGCCTAATTAACGAATGTGTGTCATAATGCGACAGGCGTTAGTAGGTCAAGTAGATGCGATGCTGGGCGGTTGGAGGTCGGTCGCCGCAGGTTCAGTGGGGGAAAAGCTTTGGCCAAAAGGACAACCCGAGGATGAGGACTAGGACGAGGACGAGGACGAGGACGGGAAAGAGGTGAGAAGGGATGAGTCGCGATTTTGGAGAGCGAATGGAGGGCGACAAACGAGTGCGAGTAAATAAATAGATGGGCGTTTCTGGCCATTCAGATTCACATTACACATTCGCCCCGCAGCCCTGGGTGTGGGATAATCTCTTCTCGCATTCAATTTATTTTGCAATTTTATAAATTCTCAATGTTTCCACTCTATCTTTCTCTCTGACTGTCGTGTGCACCTCACTTTCACTTTTTTCCTTTCCTCACCCACATTTCGAATTGTACTCGAATTAACGTTTTTCACTCCATGTTCTTGCACAGGCAATGTAAGAATGAATCTCTACTCTCTCTCTCTGGCATGATTCGAATTAAAGCAAACGAAAACTCTAACCTTAATCAATTAATCTAAAAAATCCATAAACGGTTAAAAGTTCCAACAACCAAAACACAATGTACAAAGCCTAAACATGTTTAAAACTCCTACTTAAACAACAAACTTAACCGAAATCAAGGAAACTGCTAGTTAAAGTGCTAAATCTATAAAGAAACATCACCAAATCTTCCAAATAAATATTAAAGGTAAGTGCTTTAGAATTTTTTCTTAATATACATCGATGTACTGGTTTATTCCTATGATTCTGAGTGTTACAACTTTTAATGCAATCTTATGAGCACCACTTTCCACTTGAATGAAGTAGTTCAATTTAATAGGATTATTATACATGGTTCCTTTTGCTAAACAATTGCCTTAGAGAGATCGACTCCACGACAAACACACGAATTTTGCTATAAAGGCATCTTTTCCACGGCCAAATTCCATGCGGGCAGGCCGCGGCACACGTAAATGCAGCAGTTGTAGGTATTCGGCTCCACCTTTCCCTGCTGCACCAGCGACATTATAGAGCACAAGCTGCCTAGATGATAGTTGGGTTCATCGCTCATTGTAGTCGTGGTTTTCACCTTTCCTGAAACAAATAATTGTTTTTAAATAGGATTATCATCGAGGGTTTTAAAAGGTTATTTTTGTATGGTTACGGGTTGGAGCAAGTTATTATAAAGTCTACTATAAAAGGTATTAGATAACCCTTTGAATATCCTTTATTCTTCGAACTTAAGACCCACCTTTTATAATGCCACTTTTGAGCCAGGGCACTCGATCAATTTGCGTCCACGGAATTACTTGTTTATTTCCCGGAGCCAACCAGAGACTTAATACTGTCACCGAAACTGTATCCATATTGCCATCCAGTGCAGGCATTAAAGTGCCCACTATCGAGGGGCACTGCGCTCCGTGGTAATAATCATGGGCTCCATACAGCGCGCTATACAAGCCAGTGCTTAGCATGCGCGTAGAATCGCATCCAAATAGAAAGACCACACTTTGAACTCGGGCTCGAGAAATCGTGCGTCCATTGACGTACTGCAGCCCAGAACCGTGACCAGCATAGCTAAAAATTACAAAAGAATTGATTAGTTTGGCACAGGAACATACGCTTAGAAAACCCCAGCTTACACAAAACAATCCGACTGCAGGGCCTGCTTTAATACCACCTCCTCGTTGGGCACTGTTTCGAAAAGATGCTGCCATTGGGAGAGCCAGTACTCAAAGAAGCTACGCAGTCTGCGGCCGGAGTTCACCAAATCCGCATCCGGATTAATTATGCACATGCCTTGTTTGATGTTCGTAGTGTAGTAGCCATGGCTTATGTTTGATTTGTGAATCTGGAACAAACGCCATAGACAATGCAGTGATTTGATGCGGGTGAACTCCTGAACGGTGACTAGCTGCTCCCAATGAAAATGGTCTAGGCGCTAAAAAAAAATAGTTAAAATTTAGCCAGGACTAAATAAAATATAGTTAAAAACTGGACCAGTTTTAAAAGTAAAGACTTGGTGAAGTGAAAGATTGAGATATTTCATTATTAGACTACCTCATCGACCACCAGGATGGTGGGAAATCTCCTGCCAACCAGCGGCTGTCGCTCCTCTACTTGATTCCATTCGCTGGCGAATTCCTTAAGCATATCGTACACCGATTGGATCTCGTTTTCGTTGCTGGATAACTCATAACATATCAGCTTGAGATTCGCGGAGTCTAGTCGATTGGCATGTAGAGCAGCTTGGGAAAGCAATACCCGCTGGTGAGTGCTCCACTGATTCAGCAGGCAGAAATCATCTACGCGACTATAGATGATCTTGGCTTGTTTTTGGGCACCACTACAGTCGTAACGTTTTCCAAAGAACAAAAAGGAATAGGGAGAGATAATGTCTCGAAAATTGGCTTGAAGTTTCTGAAGGAGATTAAGAATTAAGATGATGAATTTTATAGGTCTTAACCTCGAACTCACTTGCAGAAAGGTGTCAAAAACTTTTAGCTCCTCCCAATATTTTTGCTTAGCCTCCTTGCTCTTCACATTTAGGGGATCCACGGTGACCACTCGCCTGAATCTTTCCACCATTGTGCTGTATTCCCGGAAGAGATTGGCCATGTTACTGCCAGCAAATCTCAGGCCAATGGGACCGAGCTGGGGGCTTCGGCAGTGGCGGAGCAAGCTGAGATATATGGCTCCATCGCTGGCCATGATCTCGTTGAATACGGAGTAGGTGGTGGCGGGATTGAAGCTCTTGCAGAGATGCAGGATGCACCATTCGTCGGGCATTCTATGACATATATCCATAATGCGGGTTAGGCCCTCTGTGGGGTTCTGTGAACCCTCTAGAAAGTCCATGTAGTCCAAGTCCTCTTCGGTTGGCATCTCAGGCGGTTTCTGCTGCTCCACTTGCTGGAGATGCTTAATGATATTCCTTAGGAATTTCTTGCTAAGAATAATGTTTATTAAAAGTATGAATCTTAAGAGATTTATCTGTTATCCCACCTTTTAAAGTCCCCTTTTTCCTGGTTAGAGGCCGATTTCATCAGCTCCTGCGTTGTGGGTCTCCGTTTTTCCAGTTCAGCCGCTTCGGTGATATAACGCATGTCGGTGGCATGGAACTGGGCTTTAACCTGGTAGTAAATAGAATGCTCCACATTGCCATTGCGATATTCCTCATCGGCGCGAAGTAAATAGTATTCTAAAATGAAAACAAACAAGGATCAAAAAAAATTGAAACGAAATTTTTGCAGTTTTTAACCCACCCTTCGCCTCGGGGCCCACATCCGCACTGCTCACACCAGCCAGTATATTTCCCTCACGCCCCTCCTCCAGCATTTCCTCGTATTTATTTGCTATTTATTTAATTGTTTATTTTCAAACTCTGGCGGCGTCGTGTTTTTCCAATCCACAAGTTGCTTTCTCCCCCTCCTCCTAAAACGATGACGATAATTACGTTGCCTCTTTAACCAACACTGAACTATCGATAGGCGATGGTTTGCGCGGAGGAACCAGTTCATTGCTGGTGTATTTTTTAGTGTCTTTTTTCGAATTTCGCGGTTAAAACCTTGCTCACTAAAAATTAAAGAACAATGTGGCGAAATAAAAATTAATTAGTTATAATATAAATGAGGGTGGAATTGAGTAAATTAAAATTTATGCAGCTTTGAGTTATTTAATAATTCAATTAATTTGACTGTTTGGCTAAACAACCTAATTTATTGGCACAACATTTTTTTCTCAAGAATTCAATTAAATTTGTCTTAATTGCACTCAATCAATTAGTTTTCAAATACTGTAGACATCACAGCTTTTATTACAACTCGTTTTAGGTGGTTGCTGCCTGAAAAAGCTCTTTTTGTTGTTGTTTACGGCCATTCATTCATAAAAACATGAATCGAGATGAAAAGGTGCAAGAGATTGCAGGTTGGCCGGAAAACAGATGTTAGGGTTGCCACCCGGCCCAAATAAGGATGAGCAGCGGAATCTGCGCAGCAACCACACCCTCTGAAAGGAGCCTTAAAACCATTGAAATATTGTTAAGAATAGTTTTTGGTCAGATTTAAAATACATTTTACTCAGACCTTTTTTTAAATTTTCTCTTTACTTATACTTGTTACACAAAACATTCGTTTGGTGACCCCTAATTTTTGGCAACCCTAAACCACACCCTCCAGTTGCCCTATAAAGCCTTACGCAACAACAATAGACAGGAACCCACACACACACACAGATGGCCAATTATTGCAGCCATGAACAAAACCAACAACATTTTTTGGCCATTTTTGGTTAAATTTTCAACTACCACTTTTTGTAGGTTTTTTTTGTGTAGTTTTTGATGTTGATTTTGCTGCTGTGACGCGAATTTTGAGCTCTGCCGCTGCCTCTGCCGCCGTCAGCTGCAAGCTGCAGTTTTCTAATGACGTCTTTTGAAGGCAGCGTGAGATAACGGTACTTAACCGATGTGAGTGGGTGGCTCGCCCTTTAATTTTACTTGCCACGCCTCTTTTTCATATACTATATTACACCGTTGTTTTGAACCAAAAGATAAATATATATTAATTTATTTAAAAAGTTTTTTTTTTAATTTAAAAACAATTGAATTCAAACGCTCAGAGCGAATAATTACCGTTAGAGAAGCTGCAGCTGGTCGCTGTCTTGACTTAACGAAAGTTTCGTTAAATATTGAAATGACGCAGGAGCAAAAAGTCATTCTCTCTGTCTCTGCTGACGGCAACGTTAACGGAGGCAGCGAAGCCGGCGTCAGCATCCCTTCTACTTATTAATTTTGATGTTGCTTTTCACTTTTACTTTGTGGCATGTGGAACGTGCTGCTTCGAACTTTTGCTAGTGTTGGAAAATAGAGGCGGACATTAATTGGGAATTTCTCGGTTGATTGGCATGCTTAAAAAGGAAACCACCCACACCTTTAGCCCCCTTAACCCAACCACCCCCCATTTTATTCACAGGGATATACCCTTTATGTTTTTTGACTGCATTATTGATGTCGCCAACTCGGCACGTTCGTTGTCCTTTCCGCCTAGCAAATTATAACATTAATATTACATTAACACACACACATACGCATACATATGCATCGGGGAGACATTAAAACTTTCGCACACAGGAGCACATGTAACGGAGGACCAAAAACAACAAAAGCAGAGCCACCCCAAAAAAGGAGAGTGTGTGTGCGTTGGTGTGTGTGTGTGGCACACATTCCAACAGTTGCAGCGACGTTGCTGCCAGCTGCGAAGTCGACGTCGCAGTTGGCGTCGCAGCATCCCTTTGCATTTGAGCGACAACTCAAAACGAATTTCGAAGTCGACGTCGACGGTTGTGTCGCTTTTTTCTTGCTTCAAAAAATAATAATAACCTAAACAAAATAAAGCTCTCAACTATAATCTTAGAAGAAGAAAAAATACAATATATAAAAAACAAAAACCAAAGCTTAAAAATAAAGAAAATTCCTAAGAAAAGCCATTGATAAAAATAACCGAAAAAGTGTAGCATACTTTTGTGCTCGAGTGGAAAAACGCCCACGAGGCAGACGAAAATGAATTAATGAAGTATAATTGAAATAATAAACATTGCCAAGCAAGAAATGGCATTTAAGTAAATTAAGGTGTGGTGATTTATGCAACTTTTTTGAGGCACACACGCAGCGAAAAGAGCGGTGGAGGGGGGGGGATGGTGAAGGGGGGTCAAAGCCACTGCACATACTTCTAAGCTAAGCCCACACACAGACACACACACACTAGCACGAGTGAGAGGAGCAGAAGAAGAAGAGGCAGTGCAGAAGGCATACAAAATAAAGGATAACGACGAAAAACCAAGAAAGAAATCGAAATTAAAATATAAGCCTGTAGGAAAGGGAGATGGGGGAGCAATTTTCGGCTGTCGCTGTAATTCGACGCTCATCTCCTGCTCTACATTGCTCTCTTTCTCCGCTCTTCCTCTTCTCGGCTCTGCTCCTCTCCCGTTTCGTCAAGTGAAAACATTTCGTTTGGGCTTCGTTAAGTTTTGTAGGTATTTTGGCTACACGAAAATACATAGCGCCTTCATCCTGCTCGTTTCGTGGCGAAAAAAGGAAAACCTCGAATTTTCCAGCCCAAAATTACTAAAAAAAACACTGTAAATTCGTCTAAAATATAGTGAAAAGTGATCCTTCAAGAATATAACAAATTGATTTTGAAAATATACGAAAAAACAGGCCAAACGCGAATTTTTTTTCGGTGGGCCGCGAAAGGCGTTGCCAAATCAAAGGCCACAGGATAAAACAACAAGGCCCTAACTAAAATCCAAACTAAATCCTAATCACAGGCACTGAACCAAGAGGAAAACCTAAAAATAATAAAGATATAATCAAATTAAAATATACAAAAATTAATCATACGCACCGTTTAAAAGCACCAAGTGAAAAACTGACTAGAAGCTAAAACGATAAAGAGAAGCAAAGAAAATAAAGAACAAACAAAGGAATAAAACCTTTCCGAGAAGGAGCAAAAGCAGCAGCATCAGCAAGAACATTCTGCTGCATAAATAATACACTCGACACACGCATACGTATACGCCATATAGGCCAGGACATACCAGCAGGATACCATACTCGCACACACACACGGATGAGCAGGACGTGCTCCTGTTCTATTATTTAACTGCTTTCAACGTCAGCAGCACGTTCAACCCGACGAAAGTCGATTGAAAGCCGCTTTCAACGGACCCAGCATCCCTCGCTCGCTCTCCAAAAACAAAAAATAGAGAGAGAGTTCTTTGTTTGCCAGTGTGTGTGCGACAGCAGGAGCGACGTCAACGTCAATCCGCTCAATATTTATACATTGAACCGAGTCTCCTGGCCCACGAGTCGCGGCCCTCACAACGCAGACGCTCCTGGTCCTCCTACTTTGGGCCCAAAATAAATAACATCTGACAGCTGCCCGAGTCCTGAAAGCACTTAACGGGCAGTGAAAAAAGGGAGAACGAGTCAACGCGAATTGCGATACAATTTCCATAGGAAAACATCAACCAAACTGAACGCGATCTTAAAACAAAAACAAAACAATGGGCGCCAAGGAAAGTGTCGAGGCAGCCGCCAAAATGAACGCCGATGGTTGGGGCCATGTGGAGGTGTGTATTATTATTTATAAAACAAAACAAAAAACAATTTGATCGCTTATCCATAAATCCTGCTCCATTATATTCCAAACTACCAAAATAAACAAAAGTTTTGTATCGTAATAGTATTTAAAAAGTCATAAAAAGCATCCATATATATCCTACCTTTAAATGGTTGGATATATAATTTACAAAGAATTTACATAAAACAGAATCGTAATTTTTACTCCTTTATAATAAATGGAATTATGAAAACAGCAATATTGATCAGTTGAAAATCTAAAATCTAAATTTCAACTTTTTATACTTGTTGACAGAGGTATTTTTTTTAATCATTTTGAAATTTATAAAAGCCATCAAGTAAATATCAATCTTGTCGAAATAGCAGTGTACTACAATTGAAATTTAAATGTCGTAAGAAACTTTTTTGCTGTCAACATTAATTTACCTTCTTATTTTACTTTTCACAGAAGTCCATAATCTTAATATTCCAAAAACCTCCAAATAACTTGTATGAATTAGTCGCCCAACAAGGTCATAACTTTTTAAGAATCACAAAAAACTGCCACAACAAATTGTTATGTTAACAAGAGCCTCTTCTTTCACTCTTTCACCCGAAAGCATCCATAAAAGTCCCCCTAATATTGTCAACAACTTGATGATCCATTTCGTGTGTCGCCCATCGCAACAATGTGTGTCAGACAGACGATCCCAATTGCAATTCTAATGAGAGTGGGGCGAAGCGAGAGTGGATTGATTTTAAAAATAAATTAGACAACAACACGTGCACCACCCAGCACGCGAACAGAGAGCACCGAGAAGACGGTCCCATTTCCCCCATTTTCCATTTTCCATTTTCACTCCCATAACCATTCCGGATTCCCATTGGGGTTCCCATGGTCCACTTGACGATCGCAAGCGTGCATGATGCTCGACCATATCTCGCCAGAGATCTGATCTCTTGGGCGACCGGAGAGCTCCATGTGGGCGTTATGGCGCTCTCGAGACGCCAAGAGATCCGAAAAAAAGAGACTACAAATCCCAGAGATGAAAATTCGTTGTGATTTCGATTTTCTTGCGAGTCGATTAGTTGAGTCTGCGGCGTGCATTTGTGATGTTGTTTTGGCTTTTTCAAGATCTCGTCAGCCCCGATCCGTAAACCGCAATTCGAACCGTTCGGAAGCCGGCAGCTGAATGGCCAAAACCGATTCATAAAACAGGTGTCTGTGTGTGTCGCCCTCTGGGTCAAAAGATGTAAACAAAATTAGCTATATATATCGTATTTATATATATAAATCGCTATAA